AAAGGGACCACAAAACTCAGTTGGTGAAAATCATCGTCATTATCACCCTAAGCGGGACCAAAACACTGATTTCAAACCCTAAAAGGGACGACCAGGACCCCGCCCATTCTTATCAGGGAGCCCCCCTAAAATTGTTGGCCTTCAATTGGTCTTCTTTTGTCTTTTAATCAATTTTCCTGATTCTCTAAATCCCTAAATCTCAGGAAAGTTTTGTTATTAGGTGTAGTATAGATTGATATTCAAAAAAAAAAAAATAATGAACGCGGACGATGGGAATTATACTGCTAATGCGCATGCGTTTCCCTGAAATTATCGTACAATTTAAAGTGCCTATAATGACGCCTGACAAAATTTCTGATTCTCTGTGAGCTGAKTCTATATAAAGTAAATAATTTAATAGCGAAATATTTCTGCATTTTAGTGTTGCGTCTTTGAGTTTTGAATGTTTAATCGTCCAATATGCTAATGATAATGACKTCAAGGGAGCCTTCATTAGATATACGAACTTTGAAACAGTCGCTCAAAAATGTTTTCATGAACGCCATCTGGGAATATGGTTATTCCCTACATTGCATATGATAAATTTAATGCCATGAAACCATTTTTTAAGGGACTCCTTCAAAGTTCGTATATCTAATGAATCCTTCTTACAAAGGAACTCTGATGACACGCGTCGTTGATTTTAACTCTACAGAATATTTATACTGATTAAATAGCTTTCCGTAATAACAAGTGTATTCTTGCATTATTCTGTATTGTTACTTATGATCAATATATATAATGATGAAAAGTCAAAAAGAAACATTCTACTCTTAAACTATCAGTCTCCAGAATAGATCAAAGATCCTGATCGTGCTATGTATTAGCTTCCCGGGATTATCTAATAAACATATATTGTGAACAAAGAATCAAATTCATAGCAGCACACAATGGAATTTTTTATTCGAATCATAAAAAAAGTTACAGGGTATTTAGATCTTTAAGATGCTACTAAGTCAAAGTTTTTTTGATGCAGAAAAAACATAGTATAAGTAGAGAGATTAACTGTGCGATATGTTAGGAAAGAGTCTGCGTATTATCTAAATAAGTCAGTAATCTACCAGCCTTGATATGAAATGACTGAAGAATATTGTATACGTCGGCCTTTAATAACTTTGAGTCGCATAAAAACATGCTATCYACAATCGTTTTATATTAAGACTAGTAAAATCCTCACAGATATACTCAGACGTTCATTACAGGAGCTCTTACCAACAATGGATCGGCGAGGGCAGTTCATCAGAAGAGRCTTGCTCGTGCAATGATTTTTGGATGAAATATGTTCAAAATGTAGACCTGACGGATRAAGTCTGCTGAATGAATAACCCTTAGGMCCTTTGTTGCCATCCATATTCATGTACCTCATCAAGCGTTTCTCCACCAAAATGAATGCATCATTTTGATCCAAACCCCTATGGGGTCGAAGATGGCGGGTTTTTGT